TGTGTCACAATAATCGTTATTATAGCAAGGTTCTTAAGCACAAAATTGCTCTTTTTGTAAAATACAATTATTTTTATTTATATCATTCGTTTAGATAATATTATTTATTTATTTTAAAAAGCACATGCTCTTCTTTTTTTTATTTTAATAATTAATTTATTAATATATTTTTTATATTTTTTTCTAATATAATTTTAAGTTATTTAAATATGATTAATTATTAAATCGTATATAATATTTTTCGTTTATATTTATTATTTACTTAGTAATGAATTTATATATATATTTAAAATATAGAAAAAAAATTATATTTATATTGATATTTATTTTTATATATTTTATATTTATATTTAAATCTATTTTATAAACTAGATAAATTATCGAGTTTGTTTTATAGATATATTTATTTATATGATAATATTTTATATATATATTTTTAAATTTTTTTATATTTATTTTAAATAAATAAAAATATTTAAATAAAATAAATATTTTTAAAAATATATTTTTATTAAAAATTTTTATATTTTTTTTTAAAATTTTTATATTTTCTATTATATTTTTTTTAAAAAAGTTTTTTTAAAATTATAATATAAACTCATAAATATTTTTTATTTAATTGCATATAAATATTAATTTTAATTATTTAGAAATTCTAATAAAATTATAAGATGCAACTGTTTTATTCATCTAATTTAAAATAAATTTCTATATAAAATTAAATCAATTTTAATTTAATAAAATAAAACATATATGTTATATAATTTTATTCGTGTATTAAAATATAAATTTTTATTTTAATATCTTTTCTATTTATATTAAAAATAAATAAATAAAATATTTTTAATAAGTTATTAACTCTTTTTATTTTTAATTTAAATTTAAAATTTTATGTAGTAATAAAATTATAATTAATAATCTTCTTAAAATAGAGAGACTATACTTTTAAACTGCAAAAAAGTAATTGAAGAATTACATTAAGAAATTTTTTTGCTTAATTAATAGCTTTAAAAATAATAATAAATAAATATAAATTTAGAAGATAAATTATTTTAAAAATAGAAATTTTAAGAAATTTAGAAATAAAGTAAATTTAATTAATGTATTTTTATTTTGTTTATTTATTATAATTTTTGTTAAAAAATTATATATTTTTTAGAAAATGAAGGTTAGTAAATTTGCTAAAATTGCTAAATATACAAAAATCAAGAACATATAATGACTTAATAATTTAAAGAGTTGTCATATACTAACAAAGAATTTTAAAAAAAAATTTTTTTACTAAATTAAGAACTAGAAAAAAGAAATGCTTTATAAAATGATTTAAATAAATAAATATAATCTATTAAAAATTAAATTTATATATAAGAAACAGAAAACGAAAGTAATTTAAATAACTAATTGTTATAAAATGTAAAAATAGATTTAAAATTTGTTAATGAAAATCAATATGAAGAAAAAGATGAAATATTAAAAAATCAAAATAACTAATATATACAAAAATTATAAAATGTAAAATAAAAAATATAAAAGTTTAAAAAATTTTCTATAAATAATAGGATAATTAATAATTAAAAGAATAATTAAACGAATGCAAAAATGAAATTGAAACTTTATAAATGTAAGTAAATAAATAATTTTAAGAAATAAATACTAAAAATGAATTACTTGAATAAAAAGTTAAAGAATTTAAAAATACTATAATAATTTAAGAGGTATTAAAGAATATTTTTTTTAAAAGATAAACTTATAAAATTTAAATCCGAAAAAAAGAGAGAACTAGAAAAAGAAAAAGTGCTAAGGTTATAAGAAAAAGATACGATTAATGTAATATTATTAATTCATATCATTATAATTATTGAATAATTTTTTTGTATAAATAATATATTAAAAATGAGTAAAAAAATTATATTAAATACATTTTAATATAAATAATTGTGTATTGAATTTGAAAAAAAAATTAAAAATTAAAAATAAAAATATTAAATTTAATTAAATTTATTTATATAAAAATTATTAACTTAATATTTTATATAAGCAAATCAAGAAATAAATAGAAATAATTGAAGATTAATATGAAAAAGAAATAAATGTTTATAAATAAAAATAAAGTAAAAATTTTGAAAAAAAATAAAAAAAAATGAATTAAAAAATTGAAAATAATAAAACTTAAAATTTAAAATAAAGTTAATATTAAACTTAATTTGTAAATTAAAATATAGATTAATGCTTAAATTATAATAAAATAATAAAAACAGAATTATCAAAAAATAAATTAATTATTTAAAATATAGATGATGATTGTGAAAAGGTATATATTATATATGTATATATATATATATATATATATATATATATATTTTATAAAATGCTTTTAATTTATATTTTTTAATTATATTTTTTTTTTTAATTTATTTTACAAATAATATTTTATTTATATATATAAAAAATTATATTTATTATTTATTTGTATTTTTTTTTTTTATTATATATTCATTTTTTATAGATTATTAATAGAATATAAAGTAAAATCGATAATATTGATTATAAAATTTAGAATTGATAATTTCTAATATTTTTTATAATATAATTAAATGTTTTATAATTATTTATTATATATTAAATTTTTATTTATTTAATATTTTTACAATATGTTTTTTAAGATTATTTTTTTTTATTTTTTTTTCATAAATACTTTATTAATTTTAAAAAAAAATTATTTATTATTTTTATTATTTATTTATTAAATTATTCATTTTTATTATAATATATTCTTTATATTACTATATATATCTGTTTTATTTAAAAATTCAATTATTAAGTTTCTTTTTTATATATAAAGATAAGTAAATATTTTTTTTTTATTTTAAAAGAATTGGATTTTCATTTTTAAAAAAATATATAAAAATTATAAGTTATTTAAATAATTAATTTATTGTAAATTTTATTTATTTAGTTAAATTGTTTAATTAAATTCTAATTATTAAGACTATTTTTAATTTTTACATAGAAATAATAAAATATAAGATTTATATGAAGGATTTAATTTTTAACAATAAAATGTTTTCAAATAACAATTAATTTCTTTTTAATTAGAAAGCATAAGTTTACAATTATAATATATATAATTATTTTATTTATAAAATCTTTCATTTTATTATCTGATTTAAACAAAATGAATTCATTGTTAAGTTTAATAAAATTAAATTCTAAATTAATCTAATTATTATATAATTTTAACTAATTGCTTATTTATTTTTTTAATATTATTTGATCTTTATAAAAATAAAGTATAAATAAAATTATATAAGTTATTTATTTCATTAAAATAAATTACTATATGTAAAAGCTTATTTAAATCTTAAAATGTATTTAAAAAGAAAAAACAACAAACTAAATAGAAAATTAACAAAATAAATACTTTAAATATTAAACTAAAAAACCTATGCTATATATATACAGATATCCAAATAAAAAAAAAATCGTAAATATATATACAAAAATTTATAAAAACTAAAGTAAGAAAAAAACTAAACATGAAAACATATTTAAATTGGATAAAAAAATTAGGATCATATAAACTTATAAAAAAAGTATAGAGATACTAAACTTAGACTAATCTTATAAATAAATGGCAAGAATATGAATTATTTATTATATTAGAATTTAGTGACAATAGTCTCTTTGTTAGAAATAAATATGAATAAAAAAACACTTAAAGCAGGAAAAATAACTTTGATATTAAGAACTCAAGTATAATGACAATAGTAAAATCAAATATTCATAAAAACTTTAATGGATATTCTTTAAACAAAAATCACAAAAAATATATTCATAAATAATAATAATACATAAAAGCCACAATACATAAACAATTAATTAAATTTATAAAGGAAATCAAACTAAATAATACATAATGCAACTAATTTATTGACATAGTAATAATTACAAAGCTAACTTAAAAAAAAGAAAGTGAAAACTAAAACTAAATAAACATACACTAATATCATATATAAAGACATATTTCCTATATGAAAAAAAAAAACTAATAATAGATAATAAATACTCTACTATAATAAATGTATCATCATTTCATAATAACTAGAATAATATATTGAATACAATGAAACAAATAAATTTGAAACATATAATAAATAAAAATATCAAGCAAACTATCATATAATAAATAAAAATATCAAAATATCAAAAAAACTATCAGATTATTTAATTATTAGTAATAAAATAGTTTTAATAAAAATGTAAAATGATGAACTAATAATAATTAGACAGAAAAAACAGGCATAAACTAAAAACTAAGTAAAAAATTAAGAGAACAAATCATAGTATAGAAAAATATATATCACTAAAAATGATTAAATCGATCATTTGACAATATAAAACCATTAACTTTAAAAAGCAACAACAGTATTTAAAAAGAGGTGACATAATAATAATTAATATTTAAAAAAATAAATATATGCACTATTAAAAGAAGAAAAAACGGACCTAAATAAATGATTTTAAGCTATAATAAATAATGAAAAACTAACCTATAACTATACTTTAGCAAATTTAAGTAAGTTAAATAATAACCATACAAAACAAAAGTAAAACTAATGACTATGAACAATATACTATGATCTAAAACTAGGACTTATTAATGACGAAGAATACATTAGTAATACAACCATATAAAATCAAATAAAAACAACATACCAAAACTAACCATCTATATAATAATGATATTGATTAATTTATGAACTCAGAAAATTATTATTGTCAATCTTCATTTAATAATAATATTTCATATGATAATATAAAAGAACTAACGTTTGATATTTAAATAAACAATTTTTTTATTAACATTTTATTTACTAATAATAAAAATATTTTTACTTTTAATATTTGCGTACAAGAAGAAATAATAATATTTAATAAGAAAACAATAAATATATTTTATTTTATTTATTATAATTAAATTAAAATTTTTAATAAATCTATCATTAAATAATTTCAATCCTTCCTTCGACTTTAGGAGCAATAGAAATGAACTAATCATCCCCAATTTATTTAAATTCTTAAATAAGTTAGCTACTTTGTTATCTTTCTATTCTAGATTTTCTTCGATCGAAGGTTTTAACATTTTAGCTATTATTTTCACATTAACATTAGAAAACTTAGCTTTATCTTCTTTATAAGGGTTATTGAATTTCTTATTAATTACTGACATTTTATTCAATACAAAGATCCTCCTTATATGCCCCGCTTAAGTTCCTATTTTATAAACTTTTAAAAAAACTTATCATAATTTAAAGATGAGGCAATCCATCTTCCTAGTTTACAATAAACTTACAATCCTAAAACATATCATACCCATCTTTTCCTTAAGAAATAAACCATTTTAAAGCCACTTTATATTATTTATTTAAATCCAATAGTTAATTTCCAACCCAAATATCATTAGAATTGATTCTTTAAAAAGGCTATTTTTTGGGATCAAACTTAAATTTGATTCCCGAAACGCAAGGAAATCTCCCTTCAAAAGCAGGCCATTTAGAAACTCCATTTTCCAAAGCCTAAAGTACCTTCAAACCTGAGACTTCCTACACAGTAATAATATCTGAAAAGGGTAAAGCTTTATTTAACATCGAATATGAAATTGGGCCTGCTTAAAATATACAATCGGACCTAATTGCGCCTGCATTAAGTATACAAATATCTGCTTATACTTCGCTTCGAATTACATCGGCATAAAAATTGCAAAAATTAGTCTCCTAAGTCCTTATTTTGTCAAATCTTGTTTCTAGGTCAACATGGGAATGTCCAATTACTTTTTCCATTAATTCTTTTGATTTTAAGACGTAAATATCTACAATTTTTTATACTTGTTCATCCTTTTTAATGTTTTTGGTGACTTCGAAAAATTGAGTTATAACTTTCAATTTCAAATTATTCTTTTTTATATATATGAATTATTATTTTCCTTTATTTTCTTCTTCTTCGGTATCTAAATCTTCCATAAATTCGATGTCTATTATGCTATATTATCTGAAATCACTCCCACTTTTAATCAATATATTGCTATTTATTACTTATTATGTTATTATATGGTCATGACCTCCCAAAATAAGATCTATTTCAGGTACCTCTTATCCTAATTTAATATCATTAGGCACCCTCATGTGTGTTAAAGCTATAATAAGGTCACATTTGTATTATTCCTTCATGATTTTAGTCAATCTACGACCACAAGCGACAAAATCTTCATATTTTACCAGACTTAAATCTATTTCGCTTACTGAATTAAGCCAATCGGCTTCTGCAAGCCCCATGATTCCGATTACGAGTCCATTTTTTTCGAGAATAGAATAAGCGTTATTATTTGCGAAAATGCAATTAGTTTCAATATTAAAAACATTACTACATAACCAAGGAAAATTACACTTTTAAAATAATTTTTCAGCTACTTCTATTGAAAAATCGAATTCATGATTTCCTACACAGGCGACATCGATTCTGCATGCATTTATTGGCTCAATCATTTATTCTCCTTTGTATAATAGAGATAAAGGAGATGGACTAAATAAATCACCACTGAATAATATTAAACCGTCTTCAGGATGCTTTTCATGAAACTTTTTTGTTTAAGTTACAAAACGGGAAGCACCGCCTACAGGTTCTTCAGTATAACCTTCAATATCGTATACGTCGTTGAAGTGAAATATAGAGAGGGTTTTTTTAATTTTTTATGTTTTGGAATTCATATTTGTCTTGATTTAATTATATTTTAATTTAATTTTTGATTGTTTATTTGAATTATTATTATATTTATTGTTATTTTATTTTTTTATTTGTTTGTTTATTTTTTGTTATTTTTTTAAAAAATATATGGCAAATATATATTTAAATTTATAATATTTTCTATAGTTATTATTTTATATATTCAATTTATTATAAAATAAAATATAGTTAACTTTAGTTAATATTAATGAAAGTATTTTTTATTTTATTATTTTTTTTATTTTTAGCAAAAAAGTTATAAATATATATTTAACTTAAATATGCATAATGCTCATTATAAGTCATATTTAAGCGAATCTATTCTTTCACATTCTTCACAATTAAATCTATGTCCTTAAATATATAATATTGAATTGTAGGCTTTAGGATAAAATATTAAACTAATTCCAAAGTAAGTAATTAAAAATACTCTTAAAGTACTTAATTTACTTTTTTTAAGGGCTATAAAAATAATTTATTTTATATAAATATTTTTTTTTTAATACCGAAATAATTTAACAAAGGAAAGAATAAAGATGTCGAATAAATAACGACTTACCTTTATTAATTATGTGATCTTTTAAAAATGTATTCTTCTTTTAAACCTATGTTTATATTTTTATTTTTGTTAACAATTAAATATATTATATGTCTTTTAATAACATGTTAGCTATTTAGGAAGATTATCATAAAATTAAAATACAGGATTGATATAATCCTTTTAAATCGCATTTGTAATTTCTTAATATTAAGTCTTCTTTTTTTGTTTTATCAAAAAATACATTTATATTTTTCAATCGAATATATTGATTTATAAGTTTGTAAATATGCTTAAAAATATTTTTTACATGCTTATGTTAAAAATCTTTAATTGCTTAAATGTAAAATGCTTCTTTTAATATTTAAAATACTGTATCCATTTTATTTCCTATTTTTTTTTTTTTTTGAGAAAGTTTATATTATTAAAAATATTTTAGATATTTATAAAATGGAAAATAAATAATAAATATCAATTTTTAACTTTTTTAATATTAATAATTTAATTTTTAATAAAAATAAAAATTACATATTTTTTATATTTGGAATAAATAATTTTAATTTTATTGTGTATTAAATTTAAATATATAATATTTTTACTTTAACTTTTTTTAGTTTTTTAGTTTAATATCTTATATTATTTAAAGCATTATTCCAATATTTCAGACAAAAAGTTATTTAAATTATTAATTTTATTTTTTGAATCATTTAATTATAATAATTTTTTGAATTAATTATATAAATCGGAAATATATAAAATTAAAATTCAAGTACATTCTTAAAAAAAATACATATATAATGATTAACTATTATAAATATTTTATTTTATAAGTATTATAAAGATTTAATGTTTAAATAGTATTTAATTTATATTTTATTTCTGATAGTTTAATAATTTGATTTGAAAACATTGTATTATTTATTTTACTCAAATAAAACATTTAAAATTATTTTACCTTAGAATACAATAAATTTTAAATAGTAAGTTTATTTAAAATGATAATATTCATCTAATTAATTTTAAAATCAAAGTTTATATCATTTGAAAATTTTAGTAAAACTTTAAATTATATTAATAAGAAAAATCATATCCTAAAAAATTATTAAAGATAAGATATAAAAATAAAGAGTTTTTTAAAAAAAATTAATTTTTTATTTTATTTAATTTTATGTTTTACATTATTTTTATAATTTAAAAAACAAAATTAATTAATTAAAAAAAGACAGTTTTCCATTTATTTTTTTTGTATATTGAGCTTTAAAAACAAATTACAGAAAAAAATAAAAAACAATTTAACAAATATAAGATTAATATATAATAAATAAATTTTATTTTTTATATTTTTTTTAAATGAATTATTATAAATCATTTGCTTCTTTTAATAGCTATATTATAATCATTATAAATTTATGAATTAGATATATTATTTAATTGTTTTAAAGATGTAAAGAATTTTTCTGAATTTTAAATTTAAAATATTATTTATTATATCATATCTAAAGCTTCAATCTATGAATTAACATTTAAAATACCAAATAATTACTCAACAAAGTATTAATTTTATTTACAAAACATATAATCTTAAACTGTTTTTTTAATCCATTTCCAACAAACTTTTAAATTTGGTTTATTTTCTTCACAAAAATAACCATCTGGATGACAAGAAATAACCATTTATTAAATATGTTAGGTGAATTTATTTAAATTGTTATATGCTTCTTTAATTTAATTTATATTTGTTACTAAATTATCGTTTTCATGTTCATTTAGTGTTTACTTTATTTATTAAATTAAATTTTCATATATTTAATTTTATTCTTTTATTTAAACTAATTCTTCTTGATTTCTTTCTAATTTTTTTTCTAATTATTGTACTTATATTTACATATTATATAATTAGTTATCTTTTTTATCTAATCTTTCTTATTATTCGTTTGATATATATGTACTAGTCTCTTAATGTAAAAAAGATTGTTCTTGTTAGCAAATATTTAAATTTTCCTTGTTTTTCAATAAACGATGTTATTTATATGCTAATGTTTTAAATTGTTAAATACTATTTTGCATTAAAAATATAAATAATAAATTTAATCTTTTTATTTATTAATTTAAAAATATAGGAATAATTATATAAAAAATAATATAATATTATTTATATTTATTAATATTTTTTTTAAAATTAAAACATGTATATTATTTTCACAATGTTTATATATTTTAAATTGTTAATAATATAAGAAATTATTAAAATTAAATACGATTTTATTTTTTATATGTGATATAAAGGATTTTAATATAAATTAAGAATATTTAATTATTTTCAAAAATTTTTAAAATTTTAGTTTATTAATAATATATATTATATATTAAAATTTTTAAAAGTAGATTAAAATAATTAAATATATAAAAAAAATTGAATTAATATTTATTTTTTATTGCCAAATAAACTTTGAATTTATTAATAAAAAATTAGATTAAATTATTATTAAAAAAAAAAAAAATTAAGAACAAAAAAAAATAAGTAGTTTTAAAATGTTTTATATATAAATATTAATATATTAAAAAGTTATAAAAATATTGTTTATAATATTTAAAAAAAAAGTAAAGAAAAAAAAATATTTATTGAAAAATAAAATTCATAAAAAGAAAATGCATATATATCTTAAAATAATTTATAAAAGATATTTCAAATTTTTTGAAAAATTGAATATAATTTCGTTTAAGGTAATATGATTTTAGAAGATAAGTTAATTTGATAAAATAATGATAAAAAAAAATATAATGAAATATTAAGATATTAAAAAAAGCTATATAATAAAATAATAAATGATTAAAATAGTTTTAATGACTTAAAATTATAATTAAATACTTAAATTATATTAAAATACAAAAATAAATAAATCTAAAAATTGTATATAATAAATATATATATTAATTTTATATATAAAAATAAAAAGATATAAAGATAAAAAACATATAAATGTATAAATATATAAATATATAAATATAAAATATAAATAAATAAATATATATATATTTATTTTTATATATATTTATCTTTTTTAATAATTAATTTTTTTCTTAAAATTTATTTTTTATTTTATAATCTTTATTTTTTATTTAAATTTTTTTTTTTTTATTTTAGTAACATATTTTTATATTTAATTTATTTTTATCTTATCTTTAATAATTTTCATTTTTATTTATTTATTTACGTAATAATTTTATTTTTATACATTTTTTATTTTTACCATTTTAACTACGTTTTTTTTTTTTTATTTTAATTAATTTTATCTTTACAATTTATTATTTAAAGCTTTACGCATTCAACTTCTTATTAAAGAATAAAACCTTTTACTTAAAGTAATAACTCACATTTAATTTTTAAAATATTCAATAATTTGATTGCATTACTTTTTTGATTTTATTTTAAAATAAAAACTATATATCAATTATACTTTTAAATAAATAAGTCGATTCTTTCTTTATTTATCAAGGCACGAAAACAGAATATAGTCTACTTAAACCATTTTAACTTACTAAGTATTAGTATTAATATTTTCATTTATTTATTTTTTATATTATTGTTGAACTATTATTAATTAATTTATTAAGTAAAGTTTTCGAAAAAAAAAAATTTGAAGGTATCGTGTTAAAACAAATTCTAAATAGCTCTAGATGGAACTGAAGTATTTAGATGTGATTTTATTATTGGTTGTTTTGTTTTTTCTATTTTTAAACTTCAATGATTGATTTTTCCTGCTAATATATGTAAAATATTTAATAACTAAATATATAAATCCAATGCATAAATATTTTTAATAATCAGATTACTTTGTTTTCACTTCATATTAATATTTTTTTTTTTTTTAATTTAACAAAAATGTTAATTTCGGATTATATTTATTTGTTTATACTTATAAATTGATATTATTGATAACCTTTTTTGATCTTATTTAAAATTACAGTTAAAATATACAATAGTAAAAATAAAAAATATTTAAAAAGAAATTAAAAATTAAAAAATCTAAATGAATAAAAAATAAATCTATGAATATAAATGACTGAATCTAATAAATATAAAATGTATATTTAAAAAAATATATTTCATAATATTAATTTATATATTTATAAAAAAGTAATTATTAACATATAATTTTTTATTTAATTTAAAAAAATATTCATAATAATGTTTATTATAAATTATTCGGAGTTTTTACATTTTTGATTTCCTACATTTATTAAACGTCAAGAATTTGTCTTTCTTCATTTTCAAACATTCTAATAATTTCAATTTTAGATTTCCCTAAAGTTTCTTTAAGAAATCTAGTTGTAAAAAACACACAACAGACACAAACACTTCCAAAAATAAGAAATAGAGGCCAAAAATCACTAAAGTAAGGCAAAGCTAAAGTAACAACAGTACCTCCAAACCAATTAGCTAAAGTAGCAATACTAATTCCTTTTTCAGGTAGAATTTCGGAATTATAAAGCCATACGATAGGTCCTAAAGAAAAATTAAAAGCAAGGTAATACAAAAAGATAAAAATAACATTATATTTTTCCGTTCCTTCAACTTTCGAATAAGATAATAAACATAGAATATAAAGGAAAATTGCGCAAATCATCGAACCGTATTAAAGAATGATCTTTCTTCCAATCTTAGAAACGAAAAATCCACTTGTAGCGCAAGCAACCATCAAAACAATATTAGAAAATAAAGTAATCAAATTTTTGGTTTCAAAGTCTTTGATTGAGGCCCCAAAAATTTAACCAGAATACATAATAACGGCATATATACCAGACCATTGTTAAAATATTGAAAGAGTAACGCCTATCATGAGTCTTTATCGGAATTCAGGTTTTATCATGTCAATATATTGCATGGAAGATGAAGAAATTTTTTGAGCTTAGGATTTAGTTTCTTAATAAACTTCTTACACATATTATTCTTTGTAGTATATTTTCAAAATATCCATACAGTCATTATCTTTACCATATAGTAGACAATATAAAGGCGTTTCATGATTAAAATATTTTAACATTACATAAGATCTAATTATATTAAAAAAAGCAGGAAAGAAAATCACAAATCGCCAATATTCATCATTTATAGAAGGATTTTCGTTAAAAAATAAACCCAAAAAAGTACCTAAAATAATCCCGAAACAAATTGAAAGGGTATATACAAAACTAAGTTTTCCAGCTAATTATTAAGGGCTTATTTCTTGTATATATTATGGGACTAAACAACTATTGAAACCAGTTACCATCCCTGTTATAAATCTACCAATAATTAATAAATTAATGTTCAATATTTAAGAAAATAGTATTCCAATAATACCTAATAAATCTATTATAAAAATGGCATTTTTTCTAGATACAAAGTCAAACAATTTACCTGTTAATATAGATCCAAACATAGCTCCAAATGGAATAGAAGCTGTAAGGATAGAATTATTAAAATTTTTATCTTATTCAGATATATTAAAAACAGTAAATATTGTGATACTAGCTAACGACATTACGCTAATGGAATAACCGAAAAAAATAGATCCTAATGAAATATTTTGTATTAACAAATAGATTTATAGTAGAGATTTATATTTTAATTCTTACATAAATAATTATATTAGACTTTTTATAAATATAAATATAAATATAAATATAAATATAAATATAAATATAAATATAAATATAAATATAAATATAAATATAAATATAAATATAATAAATATATTAATATTTCCTTTTTTTTCTATTTTTTCTTTTATTTATATCTTTTTTTTAATTTTTTATTTTTATAATCTTTTTTATATAATTTTTTTTAATTTAATATTTATTTAATATCTTATTTATAATACTTATTTATTTTATTTATTACAAACATCAATTTACTTTTTTTAATTTTTTTTTATATTTATTTTTAGATATCAATATAAAAAATATTTTTGTTTATTTTTTTTAATTATAAGTTATTTTATTAAATAATATATATTTTTATTAATATTTTTATTTTTTTACAGTATTTATTTATATTTTTTAATTTTTTTTTTTAATTATATATACACATAAAAAAATATTTTTAATTACAATTTTTGATTCATTAAATTTTTATTATAAAAATAACTTTTTATAATTAAACTTTTAAATAATTAATAAAATTAAAAAAACTAAAATTTATTATTAATTAAAATATTATTATTATAAAATTTTAATTATAATTAATATTATTATTATTTTATTATTATATTATATTGTAAATTAATTTTATCATAGTATATATTTTTTACAAAATACTTGAAAATAATCAAAATTTATATTTCAAAATTTTTAAATGATTAAGTATATATCTTTCTATTATTACTAATTCTTTTATTAGGTATTTATTATTAATTTTTCTATTAATTTTTATTTGATTTTAAAAATTCATATATTTAAAAATAGGGATATTAAAAATTTAAAATATAATTTTTAAACTTTAATATATATAATATTTTATTTTCCTATAATACAAATATACAAATATAAGATAAAACACAATTTAATAAAATAGTTTTTCTTTATTATTATTTTCATTTATATTAAATTTTAAACTTTATTAATTTATTTAATTATAAAGCTATTTTTGTTTTTAAAACTATAAAATTATATTAATAAAAAGCATAAAAGTTATTAATTTAAAAATATAATTTTAAGAAATTAATTTTATTTAATAAAATAAAAATTGGCATATTTTAATTTAAAAATTATAATATATTAAAATTAAAACTTAAAAATTAAATGGAAAATTATCAAACAGAAGTAAGAATAGATTTAAATAAAGTTGTTAGATTGAATAATTTTATATTTTTAGTTTTTGCAATATGTACAAAAAAAGTATATACAAAAAATACATGTAGGGAATAAAATTCTGAAAAATTTTTAAATTGGGTATTATATGGAAATGCTTTTATATTTGCAGTTATAATACTTGGATTAATTCTAACAAAATTTAGGATTTTTGAAAAGCTTATTGAATAATGCGGAGCTGTATGTGTGACAATATAAACTTTTGCTTTTCTTGGAGCTTTATTCATGTATAATTTAATAACAATGTTTTTCGGTATGTAATAATATTTTACAAAAGAACCTCCTTAATGCAAAGAATTAGAATTATTTTTAATGGTTTGCGCTTATATTTATGTAGTTTGGATTTGCACTGTATTATACACAGTTGTTTATAAAATTATTATGGACAAATGTGTGTAATAAAAAGATGTAGATAGATATAATGATATTTTATTTAGCAAAAAAACAAATAATTGACAGAAGTAAAAAAATTTAACTTTATAAGTATAAATTTTTTATATTTATTATTGTATATTTTTTTTTATTTTCTTTATGTAAAAAGTAAAAAATTAACTTAAATAGATAAAATATTCATTATATTTATTTTAAGCTTTTATGATTATATTTTTTTATTCTTTAAACTATACTTACATTTTTTTATATTTTTTGCCATCTTAATAATGATTAATTTTATTTGAAAATAAATTATTAAACTTTTTTTATTATTTAATAACTATTATAAGACGGGAAATAAAATTTATAATTTTAAAGTTTGTCTAATTTAATTAAAAAATCTAAATTATTTTAATTTTTCCAACTTTAATTTTTTTAATTTTTATTCAAATTTTTTTCTTAAAAATTAGTTTAGTTTTTTGAGAGTTAGATTTCAATAGATTTTTTTGATAAATTTAAATTATTTTAAAATGAAATTATAGTACTATCCTATATGTTTTTTGATATAATTTATTATATATGTTCATATTATTAATTATGTTTTTTATTATTTTCTGAGTTTATTCTTCTTCTTTATATATCATGATTTTTAAATAATTGGATTTCTGATTTTATTTATATATTACTATTGTTATTTTATTCACTTTATACAATATTTTTAATTTAACTCATTAGATTTATATCTGTTTCTAATAAAGAATACTCATTTTTATTTTTATTATTGTTTTCCGAATAATTTAATATTGAGTTTGCACGTTTTATACATTTAAAATATGTTTCTTGAAAATTTATAGGCTTATTATTTTTGTTAAAATACATTCTTTTTTTCCCAAATTTTCTTAAAAAATTTTCACATCGAGTTTAAATATTATCTTAATTGTATTTTTAGATTAAATAAAAGTTTTTTTTTCGGAAATTGAGAATATTGCAATTTTCAAATAAATGTTTTTTACTATTACAAATATTACATAAAAATAATTCTTTTTCTGATTTAAATGAGAAATCAAATAAAATCTTATCTTTTAATTCCATAAATTTTTCGAAGTCTTGTATATTTTCTTATAGTATTTTTAATAAATTTATTCTATTTATTTTTATTAGATTTGAAAATTTCCTACTTTCGATACTATATTAGGTTTTTTATCCTGTAAAAAATTAGTGAGTACCAAAAGATTGGCCTTTAGTTAAAATTTTTATTTCTTTTTTATAAATTTTGGTTTCATTATTTATTTTAATGTTATTTTATGTAAAAAGTTTAACTAATTTTTTATTTTTAAATAATTTAACAAATATAAAATAAAAATACTTTATCCTTTAACTATTAAATATATATTATCGTCATCTCCTTTATTATATGAATTAAAGATAATTTAATCAGGCGAAAATTCCACTTCTTCCATTATTTTATAAATTCGATTAATAGTTTATTAAGAAAAAAAAGAAAAAATATTGAAATTTTTCAAAATATTAGAATTTGATTATATAATTAATTCATCCAAAATACATTTACTAAGTTTTTCTAATGATTCTTTTTCAGAACTTAATTTATCTCTTTTTTATTTCATGTAATTTTTTATTAAATTTATATTTACTCTTCTTTTTAAACCACTTTTTTTTTATTTTTTTATTAGAAAAAAAAAAAAAAAAAAAAAAAGAAAGTTAAATATTTTGTTTACATATCAATGTTTTTTCTTTTCATAAATTAATTTAAAATATTTAAATCTTTTTTATAATCTTTTTATGATTTGTTGATGTCAGTCAATATGTTGCTTATAGTATTTACAAAATACCCAAATATAATACATGATAACATCATACAAAAAGATGTAAAAGCTAATTCTAATTCAGTAAGCGGTTTTTCAGTAGACTACATCATAATATTATAGGCCCAATATTAAGCTTCTAAATACAATTTCCATTTCTGACCTTCAAAAGGGCTTAAATTAATCCAAGTATTATCTAAATGAAGGTATCTAATTTCAAAAACTGACAAAATATGCCATAGACATGCCAAAATATGACCTAAAATCATAATTTGGATAACTAGTTTAATTATTTAATAAGAGTAATGATGCTCAAGAATCTATATTATATAAAACTCGATTTTTTAAAAGATAATAAACATTCCTTTAATTTTTAATAAAATCGGTAAATTCAAAAGCATATTAATTATTGGATTTCGAGATTACCAACCTTCAAAAATAAGGGGTAAAACTTCAAAAATGAAGTTTTTTTTCAAATAAATTTACAATATTTCATTCCTATTGGTTATATAATTATTATTATGGTAATTTATAGTGTTTATTTATAAAAAAATTTCCATAATCCATAAAATTTAAGCTATTTAGGACAAAAAAAGGTAATTTTATCTAATTTCGATTTCGAAAAAAACATCTATGGAAACGAAAAATATATAAATTATATTATAAGCAAATATTAGTAGGTTTAAAGTTATTTTTATTTTATTTTCGGGATTTATTAATGGAATTTTATCCAAATTTAATCTTTTAATTGTTTTTTTTATTTAATTAAAAATATTGGCTAAGTATTTTATTTTAAAAATTGAAGTTTATTTATTTTGAAAATCTGATAAATCATTTATACATTTTTTAATATTTTCATTTTTTTACAGTTTATTATAATTTTTTATTTAAGAATTTTAATTGTTTTCAGACTGAGAAGTATTATTATTTATCTTTTAGGTATTATTATTTATATTTTTTTTTATATTCTAAAAGTTCAAGTCTTTAAAATATGAATTTTGAGTTTGTTTTATTATATTATCTTTTTATGTAGTAAAATTGTTTGATGTTATTTCAGAATATTATTTTTTTGTGTTTTAACTACTTTCATGATTGTTTTGTGAGAAAAAAGAACTTTTTCCTTATTCGAAAATACTTTTTTTATAAAATTTCTCAATTTTATTATTTTTTATATCACTGTTTTAACTTTTAATCTCTTTTTTTATTTTGAGGTTATTTGTTACTTATTTATTTTAATTTATTTATAATATATATATATTATTTTTAACTAAAATCCTTTTCATTGCTTAGCTAACTTTTTTATTTATCATTGTTTATTTTAAACTATACATTTTTAATTAAGTTTTAATTTAGTTTTATTAACATTTAGTGAAATTTTTTTTCTTTTTTCTTATTTATTATTCTTATAGTGGATAAAAATTATTTCTTTAAAACCTTTTAAGCAATATTTTCAAAAGATACATAAGTTACTATTTATTTAAAGATTTTATGGTTTATTATAGTATCTTTTAAATTTGAGAATTTTCAAATAAAAATATATAATAAGGTTATAATTATAATATTATTAAATTTAATATTAATAATTTTATTTTATTTTTTCTATATATAATAATAATCAATGTTTGTTTCTTTAAATTTTCATTATTTTATTTGTTTTATCTTATTTAAAATATTATTTAACAAAAATTACTAATAATAATATAAATACTATAGTTTTATAAAGTAAATTTTTAATTACATAAAACTAATATAAAAATATTTATTTAAAAAAAATAAACTTATTTTTCATTTATTTTTATCAATATAATTTGCAACTTAGTTTATATCATTTATATTTATATTAATAATTTATCAGTTTTCATTTTTTATTTTTACTTATTCTTTTTCTTTTTATTCTTTAATTTCTTAAAGAACTTACATTTTATATTTTTAAGTTAAAGCTTAAGCATATGATCCAGTTAATTTTTTTAACATTTCTGGTGATCTAATTAGATCCATAAGTTCATAATAGAGAATATTTTCTCTAAAAATATAATAAAAAATATTAAAAAAAATAATATTAATAAAAATAATACTAATATAAAAAAATATTAAAAAAAAAAAATATATTACTTAACGAAATCTCCCTCAGTTCTTGCATAAGCAATAGAATTACATAAAGTTAATAATAAATCAGGATTTGGCATACAAGTAAATATAATATTTTGCACTGATCCAGAAAAGGCGTCTCTTAGAAATTTACCTATGACTAAAATTACTGATGTATATATTGTTATTATTGAAAATCCGAAAGTTATATTAGAATATTTATCACTTAAAACAAAAAAATCTAAGCCTTCTTTAGTTATAGGATCTTTTGAAACTGTCCAATAAGTTTGACTATTCTATGGATCTTTTGGATTTATACAAGCTAAATTTATATATATTGATTATATAAATTGTTCATTTAAATATGGATGTGTTTCGAATGATTATTCGTATGATCTTAAATATAAAACCTTTTTTTTTAATAAAATATTATGATTTTTTTTTTTTTTGTTACATTTGAATAAAAATTAGGTAATTTAACTGGAATTTCTTTGCAATCAGCTATTAAGGCATACAATTTTTATACATAATCAGTAGAAAGAAATTTAATTTATTATTTGTCTTTAGATTAGCTATTTAAAGGATAATAAAATGATTATTCTTTTGGTATTAATTTCTATTTTTAATTTTGATATTTAATTAGAATTAAAAAAATAAGTTTAAATTAAATATATATTTTTTATTTTGAAATAAATTACTTTTCTATTAATTTAATATGATACTTAGAAACCTAATTTAGGCCCGTTTATAGGGTCTTTTAAAGCATCTAATAGTTTAGAAGCAAGTTCATTTTTTGCTGGTTCTGAAATATCCCAATTATTAATAGAATATGGTTCTAATTCAAACCTCTGTTTTTTTATATATTTTAAAAAATAAATAAATAATATAGAAATTAAAAAAACCTCAAATTAATCTCTTTCAGAACCATATATATCTTTGATTTAATTAAACTAATTTTCTTTCCAAAAACATGTATCTTTATTGTTATTATTATTTGTGTTTTATTATATTTAGCAATCTCTATCTACATACTTTAGATTTAGAATATGATCGTTTTTAAAAATTGAATATTGATTAATTTATCCATTTGTATCATAAACATTAATAGTTATTGAAATATAAGCGGATGCTACTCCATTATATTCTGAAACTGGATTAAGTGTAGAAAAAAGAAGCATAGGACCAAATATTAATAATAAAATTACATATAAAAATAATTATCCAGTTAAAATTTTGTTAGCTTTGCCTTAAAGTTCTCCTACTTTCTATCCCATAATAAAAATCGAGTTCATTTTCGCTGAATATAATATATAGTTAATTTACTCAAGAGTAAACCATTAACCTAGACTTAAATTAGTCTATGAAAAAGCCCAGTCCATAATTACTTTTATTTCATAAATAAAAGGCATAGCCTTAAAAATAGTCACACATATTCCTGCAATACCATTTCTATATGTTAGAAGGACATTTCTTTATTTAAATTCTTTATATCCGAATTTCAATTATATGGCTGATAATAGGAAATAAATGCAAAATAGAATAAAAAAGCCTATTAAATACCCATTGGCTAAGTAATAATATTAATTATTTTAATCTTAAACGAAAGGTTATGGGATATATATAAAAACGAACCAGGCTACTAATATAATAATTGTAGTTAGTTAAATGTATTTTAATAAAGATTTAGTTATTAAAATTTTGTTATTTGAATATTTTTTATTGTTGTTTTCTTTTTAATTTTCTCTTTTTTATTAATCGCTTTAAAGTGTTTAGAATTTGTCCGTTTTCTTTATTTTTTTATTTTAAATTTCTATTTTTACATTTGGAGTGGATTTTGATTTAGATAATTTTTTGTATTTTTAAGCCGTACTTTAATTTTGGTTTGTATCTAATATGATATTATATATTTGTATTTCTGTTTCTATTTAACTTAACATTTTTCTTTCAATTTCAATAAAATTTTCTTAATCACTATTAATTTTTTAATCTTATATTTGTTTTTGTTTTAAACAAGATTTCTCATATTAATCATTATTTTCTTGATTTATTTTTTAATTCAAAGGAAGTATATTGATACATTTTTAATTATTACTTTATATTTATTTATTATCTTATAATAAGAGTTTATTATTAAGCTTTTGTTCTAATTGTATATTTATTTTTTCTTTTTCTATTTCTTTTTTTAAATTCTCTTTTTCTTAATCAGGGAGATTTAGTTGATTCGTATTTAAATGAAACTATAAAAATTAATTAATTTGATTTTAAGAATCTAAAAATTTTTTTTTTTTCAAAAATTATTCTTTTTATAATTCTTTTAGATACATATTATCAATGCTTTTTTATAAATTACTTTAAAATTTTTATTTTCGTGTTTATAATTTTTATTTTCTTCTTTATATTTTTTCTTTATCAATTTAATTTTGTTCATTTAAAATGAGTCCTTTTAAAGCAATAAATCTTTCGATAACAATAAAAACAACTTCAATAAAAATCGTTACTACCATCCCTCCACTGAATTAATTTTTTGATAATTATTCGTTTATTCCTGATTTATTATATTCATCAAAATATGAATAAAATATAAATGTATATAATAAAATTATTATTTGGAAAAGAGCAATTATTGGATATAAGTCTATTCCTGGTTTTCTATTGTATTTTGACCATAATCTTGTGAAGAAATTAGGTTAATATTGAGGATTTAATAATTGCTTTTATTATATGATATCATCTTAAAATTGATTATGCATATTATATTTATTACTAGTATTCATTATGTTTTGTAGTTATAATTCTTTTTTTTATTATAATAAATTATCTAATTATCTTTACTCGATTTATTGTTTGCTTTTTTTTTCATCTTATTTAAATTAATCATCATTTATATAATTTCTTACATATGCCTAATATATATTTTCATTGCTTTATGTATCTTTTTTATCAAAACCAGATTTTTTGAGTATGATTTCTTCAAAAAAAATAAGAAAAAGAAGAAATCCTTCAAATCTAACTGAAAAGTTATTATCAAATAAAAACTAAATGGTATTCAAATTATCCAAAACACCTTCAATTTAAACCACGAATTTAAAAAGAATCGCAAAACAAATGTAAATAAAGCAAATCATCCAAATAAAAAGAGTAATAATTCTTTCTTCTATAATAAAATGTAGAAAAACCATAACTGGGAAAGGTAATGAAATCAAAGCATTATTATTTAAATAGTAAACTAGGAAAAAGAAAAAACAGAAATAATGGAATTAAGTTACTATGTAATTATAAAGAATTTTAAGTATATTTTTCACAGATTATTATTCCTTTTTTTCAATATTTTATAAATTAAATTGACTTAAATTATAGTTGAAAATTTCCATTTTTAATTCTTTATGGAAAATTCTTATATTTTGTAAGTTGTTTAGGTTTCCTTTGTCTTCTTATTTCAAAATTAAATATTAGTTTTCTAATAATTTAAGAGACTATTTTTCTCTTTATTATATTCTTTCGTATATAAAATTTATTATTTTATTATTTTATCGTGTATTTTCAATTATAAACTCGATATTTTCTTAAGCAAATTCCAGTCCATATTCATTTATTATTTAAAATATATTTAAATATAAAGTTTATATGAAATAAACATATTCGATTTACTATTATTGATTTTCATTTATAATATCTTCAACATCTATGTACAAAATACTGGTTATTTTTTTATTTTTTTCTATTAAAAAGTCCACTATTTAATTAATATCAATGAAAAGAAATTTGTTTGTATTTTTCAAGCATGCTTTTCCTATGTAAGTTATACATTTTGTAATAAAAGTATTCTATTATTTATTTTTTTCTTCTTCATTATTTTATTTAATATCTAATTATTCTTAATTAGAACTAAAATCCTTTAAAAGTTCTTTTAAAATATTCTAATTTGAAGTAGTGGGTGTGTTTAATTCTTCTTCTTCTTCTTCTAAGCTTTTTAATTATATCTTTCTTTAAGTATGAAGCAAATCTTTTTTTGACTTTTTTAAGAGACTTTTTTATTGATAATTTTATTCTTCGTCTTTATTTTCTTCTTCCTCTTCTCCACTTCGTTGATTATTATTAATTTTAAATTAAGAGTAATTTTATTTAATTTCTTAGGTTTTAATTAAACCTATTTTAGGAGATGAAACTTCCTCACTGATGTCAAAGTCGTCTTTAGAATTTTTAAATTCTAAAACATATTCGGATTTTTGGCTTTTTGCATCAATATTATTTTAGGAGAATTATTCTTATTTTTAAATTTTTAATAATTTTTTATTTATTTATTAAGGTTGATTATTGCTTTATTTAAAAAATTACGGAGAAAGCTTTTTAAATGAATTTTCTTTTTGATTTTTTTCAACCTTCTTTTCTTGGCTTTCCTATATTTCATGCCATTTATTTAATAAACAGGACACATTTTTTATTATACTGTATATTTTTCGTTTTTCTAAATCTATTTATTATAATTTTATCATTTTCATGTCGTTAGTTTCTATTGAAGAAGATTTTTGACATAAAGAGGCTTTAAAAATTTTATATTTATTTATTTATTGAGTTATATAAGCATAATCTTTTGACTAAAGCATTTAAATGAGGAAAATCAGGAAAAAAATAATCAAAACTTATGAATACAAATTCACTTCTTATAATTAAATACATAAGAAATATCCTATTTTATCCAAATTTTCCTAAACTGGTGGAATTTTGACTATGCAACCAATAACTAGAAAAAAATAGGAAAAAAAGAGTATTATTTTAAAAAAAATAAGCTTTTATTTTTAATAAAGGAGAACTTAAGGAAATTAAACAATATACTCTAAATAAAAAAAAAGCCCAAGAAAATAAATTAGACTAAGGAAATTTTATAAATTGAAAGTCTCCAAACTAATTAATATTGCAATAAAAAGGAAAATAATATAACCAAAACTAATAAGATATTCATAAACGCAATTTATAAATCTATATTATATACTTTTCCAAGCTTTAAAATTAATATAAATTTTTTCTTTTAGATCAGGATATTACTACCTTAAATATCTTTTTTTTATTTCACCTTTTATTCCTTTTATATTATCCATTATGTTCACTATTATTTTGTTATAAAACCAAAAATATATACCTACTACTATGAAAACCATAGAATTTAATACAAAAGATGTCAAATCATTTTCATTATTATTAAAAGCTAAATATTTTAACCATTTTTAGTCTGTTAATATTATTTATATAATAGACGTACTTCTTAATCTTTCAATATTTTTTTCTATATATAAAGGACTAGTCTATTCTGTAATGTTAAAAGTGAAAAGTATGTATTATAAAGCAACTATAAATACAGTATTATTGTTTATTTCCTTTATGTTTTTTGATCTGAAGGCTATTGTTAAATATAAAAAAGAAAATATGTCCTCTTTTTTTACAGAAACTATCAATAGTATTAAAGTGTAGAATGGAAATAGTAATTGCAGACTAGCTTATTTCATTTTTTATATAGTATATATTGTCTTCATTTTATAATAAAATTATAAACGAAAATAATTATTGTAGACATAATCACAATTATTTTCTTGTTCATTTTCATCATTTTTTTTTATTTCTTGTTATTTATTGTTTATATTTTCTTCTGTTTTTAACATTTCTTTATTAAATTTTGATTATTCAAATAATTGTATTTGGTTTTGGTCATCTTTTTATTAAGTGTATATTTATAGATCATTTATATCCGTTAATTAATTTAATTTATTTATCTATAAATGATTATTTTTGTCTATTTTCTGAATACTTTTATCCATTTATTGGCTATTTTTAAATATATTTTAACTACTTTTATATAATTTTGGGCTATTTTTAATTTATTTATGATTTTAACATTATTATTATTATTATTCTTAATTAAAAGTATAGAAATCTTTAATTAATTGTACTTTTTTTTGGAAAAATTATATTTAGATATCTTGTTTATCTTTTGTATTTAAAATTTTTTCTTCTTGAAGACTTTTTCTTCCTTTTCTTCTAATTGTTTATTATTTACTTATAGATTTCAAAATACTAACTTTACAATTAATATTTTTATTTTTTTTAATTTACTATAATGCTTCTTTCCTTTTTTCATTATCGACTTGACTTTTGGAATATTTGAGCATATTTTAAGCCAAAATAACTACAATGTCAATCCAAAAAATTAATATATAGAAATAAATGCTTCTAAAAGTAATATAATAAGATAATTCTGTACAAGAAACACCTAAAATAAACAAATACCACTAGGCTTAATTAGCCAAAAAGTTAAATTCTTTTTAAGCAGTTTATGTAGCACAAATTTAAGATGAGTAAGTGATAAAAATACATACCAAAGATAAAATAAAAGATATATATAAAATTTTATTTGAAAGTTTATTACTTTCGCTTTTTCTCATTTGGTTAAATTCTTTCATTATTTTTTGCAGGTTTTAAGTTGCCTCATCTTCTTGATGCTCTTATTCTTTATTCCAGATAAGTCCTTTTTACTTATAAGTATAAAAATGAAGGAAATTCTCAAAGTATTTCTCTAATTCTTAATTTATTTGCTTTTTTTCAATTAAATCAAGAAGCATATTGTAAAACTTATAATAGTAGAATAAATATAAAAATAAATAAACTGACATTGATATTGAAAGTCTAAATGTAACTGCGAATATGAAAACTAAAATACTCTAAATATATAATTATATCTTTAAGAAAAATTTCGCTATTATTTTTATTAATGCTCTATTTAATATTTTTTATTATTAATATATCTAATTATTTATATATATATATATTACAAATCTTTTATGCAATTAAAAAGAACAAATTATTCATATACTTTTTGATTTTCTTTTATTCTTTATTATCTAATATAATCATTAATATTTTCTTCTTCTTTATCTGAAATTTTTGACTTTTGATTTTTTAATTTTTTTTCTTTTTTTTTTAATATATCTTCTTCTTCTTCGTTTTTTTAATTATTAACTTCATTAAACTTAAAGCAGTTTAACCCACTTAACTAAATTAATTATTAATTCATATTTTATTAATCTAATCCATTTAATTAAATTAATTCATTTTTTTAATTTAATTTTAATTAATTAATATTTTACTAATAAATACTTCTAGTTTTTTAAAGTTTCTTTTGGTCAAGTATAGCATGATATATGATTTAGTAGAAATTTCGCATATAATTAGAAAAGAAAAAAACAACAATAATAGGCAAGAATAAAAGTCTTAAATTAGTATCATTACTTTATCTTAAAAATCCATAAATGTCTCTATTAGAATCAAAATTTAAATAAATTTAATTATTTTTGTTAATAACGTTATTTTTTATATAAGTAATATCAGTAAATAGATACAAATAAAACAAAATAATGTACCCAATAATACATAAGTTAAAAATACTCCATATCTAAAAATATATTTTGTAATTGAATTCCATTCTATTTTTAAATTCTCTTACTTAATTATATAATAAAGTTAAAACAAAAAATAACATAAAGCAATTAAAAAAGTTAAAATCATCCAAAATAAGGACCAGAGTAATTATAAATTAAGAAAACCAAAACATAAAATCTTGGACCAATATATATGCTTTTTACATATAAATGTAAAAGTTCGCAATGTATTTCTTAACTAAATATAACTAAGAAAAATGATAATTTACACTATTTTAATATTGTAAATATATTCTGCTTCGATATGTGTCTTATTATAATGAAAATATTAAAAAAGCTACCCATATAATAGTTAGACTGGCATAATCTTCCCTATAAAAACCTATAGATATATTTATATCATAATTATGATTAAGGCCTACTACTTATAATATATTTTTTAAATCTTAATTATTCATTTTATTTTTAGTTATCAAAAAATATAAAAATTTTGCCATTATATAAACTGAAGTATATATTATTAATAAAATCCAATATCTATGGGCAAAATTAACTTAAAAAACTCTATTTTCGAATTTTATATTTATTAATTTTGCTTTATTATGCAAATAAATAAGAAAAAAAATGACAAAAACTAAATGAATTAAATTTATTGCATAAAATGATATCCAAAAAAGCATAAAAAGAGCCAAATTATAACTATTTTTCATCAAAAGTACTAATAATAAATTTTAAAATGAAGGTTTTTCTAAATCTTTAATTTAGTTATTATTTTTATTTTCTAAATTGCTTTTATTTTCTTAATTGTTTATATTTTCTATATTTTTTTTATTATTATTCTTAAGTTATATTTATTCTAAATTTTTCTGTAGAATCTACCAATAAAGAAAATACATAAATATTAAACCATTTATTAATAAGCATTCTAACCAAAAATATCGCTAAAACTAAAATCCACCATCTTCATATAGGTTTATATTATTTTCTATTGAAGCATATATTATAAATATTTAAATAATAAAAGTAGAAGGTATAGCTAAAATTTAAATAAGATAAATTTATGTAGTTTATTAGAAATTCATCAATGAATTTATAAGCACCCATATTATTTATATTAAAGAAATATAACTAGAATATCTCATTATTATTACTATTGTATAAAATTAGGTTAAACGTAAGAAAATAAAAGATATAGATACCCAATTAAGGAAATTATTTTGAAGTTTTTAATATATTTTCAAGGTTATGTTTTTTATTTTTTATTTAATGATTATATTTTTCTATAAACTGTTTTTAGTTTATCATTATTATATTATTATTATTATCTTTCTAAATATTTAGATACTTGTTCTTATTATCTTTCTTAATTTAATTAGTTTATGTATTTTAAAGATATAATAAATAATAATCCAAGGTTTATTAGAAATAAACTATATTCCTTTTTTATATTATAAAAAAATATATATAAATATTATTTTTGTAATTTTGCTTTTACTTTTTTATTTTTAATATCTACAATTATGTCCACTCCTAAAAGCCTTTAATCCCAATATTTTTTATTTACAAAAGTCTGAGTAGAATTTAAAAAAAATGCAATTACTTAAATAAAACAAAAAGCCTAAACAATATAATGAAAAATTCTGGAATACTTCTTTTATTGTGAATTATTTTTTAATAAAAAATATATATTTAAAATAGTAAAAAGCAAAAAATATATGATTCCTATAATTGAAGGGTTAATCATTTGACCAAATAATAAGCCTATTAAAACTAAAAATTAATAAATGCTTTTTAATGCCTATTTTTATGTGTTTTATTTAATATTTATAAATAAATATTTACTATTTAGAAAAAATTGAAATTACTTAATTTTTATTTTTTTGAAATTTTAATATTTTTGCCTCATAATTTTTATACTTGTGATTTATTAAAAGAATAAAAATTAAGGAAAGTGTAACTATTAAATTTGGTAAAAAAGTCAAAATATATTATTCTACTAATGTATATTTTTCCTATAAAAAAAAATACTCTAAGTCTAATAAAAACTCTTTCTTTTCAATATAGTCAGATTATTTATATAAAGCCAGAATAATAAATTTAGATATTAAATGTGATATTGATACTATCAAGGTTATTATATGTAAATTTTTGCTTGGATTCCTTAGTGTCACTTTTATTTCTTATGATTCATTATTTACATAATTTATATAATAATCTTATATTAAAAATTATAATGATAACATTAGAACAAAAATATAAAATATGGTTAGGTAGCTTTATATGAAAAAAGGATATGCTAAATATATTAATGTAGGAAATATCATTTTTATAATTATAAACTTCAAATTCGTTTTATCAATAAAATCTTATTTTTTACTTTATATTTACGAGACATGATCTTTTTATAATTTAATTATATTCATTTTTTTATTTATTAATTTTTTTAAATATTTAAAAAAATAAACAAAATATTTCCTAAATAATAAATAAATACTTCTATTTATTATTAAATATGAGCATAGATATCATAATATTTTTACAATGTAATTAATATTGCTATTTTAAAATTTTTTGTTATATATTATATTTTAAAAAAATTATAAGAAGAAACCATAATAACCTTTATATTTTTATTAAATATGTTGAAAATTCAAAAATAAGAAAAATAAATATATGATTTAATTTTTTATTTCTTGAAATGACTAATTAATTAATAATAAAGATAATTATATTGTAAAATAAATATTTTTTTATGATTTATATATAAAAATAACACAAAAATAATTTTTATTTTTGTTAAATATTAAATAGTAATTGAATTCTATATGAAATTTTAAAAGTTTATAATTATATATAAATAAAGTTCAATCTATTATTTTTTTATTAAAATTATAAAACAAAAATTTAATTTTATTAATAAATTAAAATTAAGAGCATTCTACACTTTTTACGAAAAGATGTAAATAAAGATAACATTAAACATTATATTTTATTTTATTTTAAAAATTAGAACAGAAAAAATTATATAATTTAATTAATATATAATATTTTTAAGATATTCTTAATAGTGAATTTTTGTATTTAATTTATATATTTTCATATAAAACAACAATAAATCTTAAGTCTATTTATATAATTTAATTATAAGATATTATTTTTCTTCTTTTAATAATTTTATTTATAATAATCTTTAAATATATCATCAAAAATGATTCTTTTTTTTTAATTTTTACTTAAATTAATCTTAAAATTTCCTATTCTATTCTATTCAATTTGATTTTATAGATTATTTAATAAAATACACTAGTTTAATATTTTTAATCTGATAAAAGTATTATTATAATATTTAATTTATGGTCTATTTATATTAAATAGAAGGATAATTATTAATTATTCTGCTTGTTTTGATTAAAAAAAGTACTTATTTTAAATTTGAAAAAAGTTAGATAGACATATTTTTATAATGAAATTTATTATATTTTTATTAATTAATTATTTAAGTTACATTTAAATTGCTTATCCTTTTAATAATTATTCATTTTCTAATGTTTTAATAAAATTTATTTCAGTTTGATGTTTATTTGGTTTCGAATCTATAAAATTAAGTCTTGTTTAATAATTATTAATATTCAAAATTTTGAAAAGTAATTTTTATGCATATTCTTAAATTCACTACAATATATTCATAATTATATATCCTAATAATAATCAAAAAATAGAATAATTTATTAATATATCATTAAAAATTTAAAATATATTTATAATAAAAAAAAAATAATTAGAAATAATGTAAAATACATATATAAAATAAGTTTAAAATATAAATATAATTTATTATTTAATTAAAAAATTATATTTAAATTAAAACTTTATTTTTTTATTTATTTTATAATATTATAAAATTAATTATCATTATTTTAATATATAAATATCTTTTTTTCTTTTATAAATTTTAAATACAATTCATTTAGTTCATAGAAATATAATATCTTATTTAGATTAAGATATATATCCAAAAAATATCTAATATATATATTTTTTAAAATTATAGTTGTTATTAATATAAATTATGAAATGTTTTTCTTTGTTTATTAAAAGATTATGTATTTTTTTATTTATAATAATATATTATTTAATATATACAGAAATATTTATATATTAAATAAATATTGAAAATGGCAAATTAAAAAAATACTTATATTAAAAAAAATAACAACACAAAAATAAAAAACAAATAAAAATCATAAATATTGTTCTTTTCATTTTTCTTTTTTGCTTTTCTTAATTTTTTTAGTTTTTTCAGCTTTTCCATATTTACTTTCATAAGCAGCTAATTCCTTTTCGTATTTAGCTTTAGCTTCAGCCTATAACTTCTCATATCTTTATTTTCTTTTTCAGTAGCAACTTTCCATTAATCAGCAATCATAGAGGTTAATTCAGTAATTTTAGAGTTAGGGTTAGCTTTTTTAAATTTTTCATAGTTATCTTATTTGAAAAGGAAAAAGCTTGACAAAGGTCTTTTAGGAGGAGCAGGCTTAAATTTAAAATAAAAATATGAATAATGAATAAATTTTATATAATAAAATATATAAAAAATAAGTAAAAAAAAATACTTTTTTTTTTTAATTTTTTTATATTTTTATTTATATTACTTTGTCTTCTTTTGATGCAGAGGGTTTAGCCATTATTTTTTATATTATATTTTTTTCTTTTTTTTTTTCTTTTAATTTTTTTTTCTTTTTAATTATTATAAAGATTTTTTATATAGACTTTATATATAAAAATAATTATATCTATTAATAAAGCTAATCTAATATTTGATTGGATAATCTATAGTAAATAATGATTAAAATATAATATGATTTTAGTTATTTTTAATTATTATTTTCTAATAAATTAATTCATTTAATTAGATTTTGATTAATTTTTAAATTTTATTCATTTTATTTAATTTTTTTTAATTTTTTTTTTTTTTTTCTTTCTTTTTTTTTTCTTTATTTCTTTTTATCCTTTGTTTCTTTTTTTTAAATATATTACTTATTATTTTTAAAAAAAAAAAAATATTTTCTTAAAAACTAAATACAACAAATAGGACATCTTCATATATCAAAAAAATTATTTTTTTATAATATAATGAAATATAATAAAATATAAATTTATTATTTTATATATTTTATTTTTATTTGCACATTTTTATATTAATATTCAATCTTATTTTTTTCCACTTCTTTTAAATTCTTAATTTTAATCGACATATACAATACTAAATATGCAAATAAGTTTTTTAATATATTCATATTATGATATGTTTTTTATTTAATTTTTGATTTTTATTATATTATCTTCGTTTCTTATTAAAATATTTATTTGATTTTTGATTTTTTTTTTTTAGTCAGATCAAGACTGGGTAAATTATAGACGTATTTTACACTTATTTGAACTTGAAATTGACTTTTCATAGATTGTTTTTCATATTATTTATTTAAATAACATTATTAGATTGGGAAATAAGATATTTTTTAATGTTGTGTTTTAACATTTATTTTTTCATGTATTATTTTTTTTATTTTTTTTATAATTGAAAAAAAATATATATTGATAGTAGTAAATGTAATTCTTTTTATATTATTGCCTTGTATAATATACATAAAAATAAAAGAATAAATATAAACAGCATTTTTATTATACAAAAAAATTAATTATATATAAAAATTAGTATTATATATTTATTTTTAAATTATAATAAATATACATATATATTTATTAATTATTAATTTAATATTTTTTAAATATATAAACTATATATTTTAAATCCATTTTTAAATATAAAAAAAATTATTAATAATATATTATAATTAATCATTAATTATATTTCTTTTTAAATAATTATATTTTAAATATATAGATATTTTATTTTGTGTACTTTTTTTTTCAAAATTTATTTAATTTTCTTTATTATATTAAAATCTTCTATTTTTATATTGCCAAATTTATAATATATAAATCAAAATATATTTTCTAAATTGATATGAATTTATATATATAGGAAACGATAATTTAATACAATAAATAGTTTAAAAATTAGCTTTTCATTATATCTCTATAGGATTTTCTTTTATTTTTTAAATAAGATAAATTTTTAATGTTTAAGACATAAATAATTAAATTAAAATAAAAAAATTAATAAAATAAAAAAAAATTAATTTAGATAGTTTTTTTTATATTAAACAAAAGAATTATAAATTCTAATAAAAAATATATTAATTTAATTTTTAAAAAAAAATATTTAATAAAAATAATTAAAATTTTTAAAATTTAAATAAAATCATCAATTATATTTCAATAAAATAGTTTAGCCTCAAAAAAAAAGTTAATAATACTATTGAATGATTGATATTATTTTCTAAAAATAAATAATAATTAAAATTGATAATGTTTATTTATAAATATATTAATATTTTATTTAAATTTATATTTTTGTCAATATATATTTGACTTTATATAAACTTTATTTATTTATATTGATATATAAATTTAAAAATTATTATTAATTATTAAAACTTTTGTTGAATTCGACTTATTTTATTATAGAATAATATAATTCTGATATATTAATATATTTAAGCTATGTTTTTTTCTCTATAAAATTTAAAAAAATAAAAACTAAATAGAAATTTAATATAAAATTATGTTTAGTCTTTTAATACTTATTTTAATATATTAGTTATTAATAATTATGCATTTAAATAAACTAAAATATAAAAAAATTAATTAATTTGTTTCTATAAGAAATCGTTTTAAATTTTAAATAAATAAATAATGTTTATTTTTTATAAAATAGTTAATGAAGAAAGATATACTTGTAATTTAAATTATAAAATTTGAAGATTTTTTATAACATATAAAAAATATTACTGACTCATCTTAATTTTAACAATAAAATATTAAAAAGTGAATAATATTTAGCTATTTTTTTATAAATAATGTTTGTATCAATAAAAAAAAAATATTATAAAAAAATGATCTTAGAAAAAAATACTTTATACTATTTAGTATAAAATATAATATTTTTAATAAAAATTTAAAATCTTTAATAAATCATATATTTAATTAAATATTATACTTATAATAAGAATTAAAAATTTAAATATATTAAAAATTATTATATAATTATAATGAAAATATATTTATCAAAAATATATAAACTTATTATTTTCCATTAAATATCTAAATATATAAATGTTTTTTAAATATATAATTTATCCATAGTATTTTCTTAGAAAAAAAAATGTATTAAAAAAGCATATAATAGATAATAAATATATTTACTAACATCTTATATAAAATAATTCTAATAAAAATATTCATAAATAATTAAATTAATAATAATATATAGATAATAAAATTTTATCATTAATTATATAAATAATTTTAAAATATTAACTCATTAAATTACTATAAATATATAAATTAAAAAATCAAACAATATATTATTTTAAAAGGAAAAAAATTAAATTAATTTAATTATATTATATTATTTAAAAAACTTATACCTTTTATTTATAAGAAAAAAATTAAATTTTTTAAAAATATTGTATTAATTAATTTAAAATATAAGAATAATTTCAACGTTACTGTTATATTTTTAATATATTTACAATTTTTTTATTAAAATAATTTTTTAAAGCAAATAAACTTTCTTCTTGATAAAAGGAAAAAAAAAAAAAAAAAAAGTCTATATTTGATAAATTAGTTTATTTAATTTTTATTTTAAAGAAAGTTTTTGTTAATTTTCTTATATTTGTTTACTTATTCAAATAAAAAAAAATGCTGTTTGCAAAAAAAATAAAAAATTAAAGTTATACATAATAATTAAAAAATAAAGCCTTTATTTGACAAATTTTTCTGTATGAAATAAAAAAAAACTTTCAAAAAAAAAATAGACTCAAAAACAAAGCATTATTATCTTTTTTTTTTTTTATTAGTAATATTTTTTTTTATTTCTTTTTCGATCAAATAAAAGCTTTTTTTTTAAATTAAATTTTGTATATTACTTTACTTTATGTATTTTTTTTTTTTTATTAAAAAAAAAAAAAAAAAAATCACATAAAAAAATAAAATCATTATAACCAGCTATGGTTCATTAATTCAGCTGAACTAATTCTTTATTAAGGATCAAAGTGCAGCATTTTTTCAAACAAATCAATCAATTAATGAACTCTAGCTTCATCAAATTAATTAGCATAATAAATAAGTATAAATTAGAAATTATTCCAAAACATTTCCCTTATTTTTTTATCTTAACTACACAGCATTCTATATAAAGGATCTACATAACAACATCCAAATTAAGAACTAATGAAGGGGAATTATTTAAAAATAGAAGCAAAAAGAGTTAATCCTAAAGCAAATATATCTATTTTTTTTAAATCAAAATTTTAAATTTAATTATTATTTTCATTATTCACAAACATTTATTTTCTCAAATATTCAAGAATTTCAGGTGAAAAATAATCACTTTATCTAAATTATTATTATAAATTAAAAAAATTATTATCATCAGCTTTCTTAGAAAACCCGAAATCTCCCAAAACAAATGTGTTTTCTGCCATTTTGAATATATTTTCTGGTTTAATATCACAATGTGCAATATTTTAAGTATCATGTAAATATTGTAAAGCTGAAACTATTTATTTCATCATAGTTCTCAGTTCGATTATGTTATTTAACTATTATCTATTTTTTAAACAATAATCATATAAATCTGAAATAGCTTTAGGATATATAATATAACATCCATTAATTTTATTGCATTACATTTGAATTGGTTTTATAATATTTTAGTGATTTAATTTACTCTATAATTAATACTCATTATATAAATTTAAGCAATTCTTATCATGTTATCCGACTTCTGGATGCATTATTTATTTTACTATAAGTTAATTATTTATATGATAATAAAAATCATTTTCATTATTGTTTTCTTCTTCATTTTTTTATAAATATATATTATTATAAGGTTAATATACAAAAAAATCAACGAGATGATTATGTTAAATTTCATCGTTGATGATATCTTTTTAAGTATTTTTTTGACTATTTACAGATTTTTAATTCATAAACTATTAGGATTTTAAAAATTCCTCTTCGTTTATTAATTAGACAGTTTCCATTTCAGAATTAAAATTTAGATTTGTTTCTGATGAAAAACTGTCATTTTGAGGGTTTTGAAGGGCTTCATCTTTGATCGTTAATATGGAAATTTAGGAATTTGAACCTTTAGCAATCGGCTAAAGAACAAATTTATCTAACTATATTGAATTCAACATACTTTATTATATAAAAAAAAATGATTTTTATTTTAATTTTATATGTAAATGTTTATTTTACTTTATCCAACCCTCCTTTTATTAAAAAAAAAAATTATAAATATTATTTATAATTATATATATATATAATATATTAAAAAAATTATTATTTCTGAAATATATTTAATTTTGTTTTATTTTGTTTTATTTTTTTATACTTTACTTTTATTTAATTATTTTTAAATATGAAATTAACATTATTTAAGTATTTGCTTTTAATTTTCTTTGATTTGTTTTTTAAATAATCATTATTTATTTTAAATATGTAAGATATATTATACAATATTTTTATAATTCGAATTATTATTAATTATATTATATTCATTTTTATATTATTTTTCAAAGAAAAGAAAACTATATATAATAAAAAAAATCTTATATTAAAATAATAATTTTCCATATCATTTAATAAATATAATATTAATTATCAATATTTAAAAATTTTTTATGCTTATATTATATTTTTTATTTTCTCTGTAATTTTTTCAAAAACTAAATTAGCAAAAAAAATAAGGCGAGAAAAATAGAAATACATACTTTTTTTTTTCGATTGGGTATATTAATAAAAATTATAGAAATAATTAAAATTAAAACAAAAAATTGTATATATAATAAAGTAAAACTTTTTATTTTTAAGAATTATAGTTATATAAATATATATAATATATAATTTTTAGAAATATATAGGAATATTATTATAAAATATATTAATAAAATTATATTATAAAATATTTTAAATAGAAAATAATATAATTATTTGTACTAAGACAAATTTTAAGTTTAATGTCCAATATTCAATATTTTTAAAGTACATACTTTTTATATATTTTAAAATTTCTACATATATCAAAAAATTAGAAAAAATGTAATTTAAATATTATACTTTTATTAACTTTAAAAAATATAAATAATAAGATTTTTTTAAATATTCTTACAAATGCTTATTTTAAATTTATTAGTTATTGATTTTTTATAATTTTATGTCTTAAAACATATATATATATATATTTAAATAATATTCGATTTATTTAATTATTTTAATACCTTATATTTTTATTATAATTATCTTTAATATTTTTAACTTTTTTCCAATAATTTTTTTATTTTAATATTTTTACTTAATTATTTATGAATAATAATCTTTTTAAAAATTAAAGTTATATAAAAAATATATTAATTTAAGCACTTTTTTTATCATTAATCTAAAATTTATTTAAACTGTTTAAAATATAAAATGAATTTAGTGATAAAAAAGAGTCTAAAACAAATATTATTTTAGATTTAAAATATAAATTTGTATATATATTTCTATTTAAATAAAATAAAATTAAAGGAAATAAAATAATATATTTTAAACTAAAAAACAATAAGTTTAACAAAAATGAACTATGTTCTTTTAGAATTAAATTATTATTAGAAGTTATTCATTAATTATTTAAAATTCTTATAATATTTATTTTTAATAATATATTATTATAGTTAAAATAATGTAAGAAAATATTTATTTATTTTTTCTTTTATTATATATATAATATTTATTAATAGTTTATTTACAATTTATTTTGAATATTTTTTATACTTTACATTGCATGGATATAAAATTAGTTATACTTCTTAATATTCTTAACTTTATTTATATTTCTTATTAAATATTTTAAATTATTTATTTAAATTATTGTAGTAATTATGATAGTTTATATATATTTATTTTTCAATTTTAATATATGTTTTTTTATTATTATTCATATATTACGTTAAAAGATATGTGTATTTCTATAAAAATTAAATATTTTAGACAAATTAAGATTTAATAATTAAAATATTTTGTTTGAATTCACAAAAACTATTTAGTATAATAAAGCTAGTGATTTATTATGTAATTAAAAAAAAAAATAGTTTAGAATATATATTTTTATCATTTATTTTTATATATATTTATGTATTTTTATAATATATTATTTTTTAAATTAAAAAAAAATATCCAAAAGAAAAAAATATTGGAATTATAAAACATCTGAATAAAATTAATTTTTTTTAAAAAAAATATAATAATAAACATCAAATTTATGAACTAAATATTCGATTATATACTAGAAAATTAAATAGGGACAGGAAAAGTTTAATATTAAAGTACATTATGTTTGTTTTTAATATTTTTTTGCGGCGGTTATTAATCTATTTCATTTTCCTTTACTCTTCCAATAATAAAAAAAGTATATAACTTATAAAATAACGAAATTTAAATAGCCTAATCATTAATATTTTTCAGTTCAGCAATAGTAGGTTTTTTTTTTTTTTTAAAAAAAAAAGAAATAATAAAAAATTTATATATTTAAATAAAAAGGATTATTTAATGGAAAAATTTCAGATTATTATGGGCGTAAAAACACTTTTATATATTCAATATCTATTTAATTTTTATCTAATTTTATGATTTTTTTTAGTTAAAGTTTCATTTAATATACCTTTTTTAGATTAATATATTAAGCTGTTTGTGGTTTAATATATCCTTTAGCCTCTTGTTATACAACAGAAATATTACCAAAAAGTACTCGTGATAAATATTTTTTATAAATTTATAATTTCTTCATTTTTGGAGAATTATTTTCAGTAATAATAGCCTCTTAGACATTTGAAAATTTAGAATTTGGAAATTGGAGATTGCTAAATTTAATAAGTTCATTAATAAATTTCTTTAGTATTATATATGCAGTAAAATATTTAATTGAAAGTCCATGTTATTTACTTTGTTGTACATCTTTTGGTAATGGCAATTAAGTTTTTGAAATTTTAGATAAAATGGGAAATATAAACAAAGGAAATTAATATAAAAAATTAAGTTCAGAAGATAAAAATAAGTTAATATAATGGGGAAATAAACAATAATAATAATAATAATAAAATTAATAAAAAAACAAAACAATTTAACTTTTTTAAAATGATTATTTATTTCTTACTATTAAAGTGTTAATTATTTGGTTTTGTTCGAATTTTATTTACTATGGAATGGTTTAAATGCTTCCTTTTATTATTATGAAATAATAAGAAAATACTACTTATAAAGAAAATATTAAATATAACTAAAGCGATTTTTCAGGTTTTTTTATAGCCATTTTGTCCGAATTTCCTTCAAATATTTTTGTCTATTTTGCTATTGATAATCCTTTTTTTGGAAGAAAAAAAATTTTTTTTTTTTCATATTTTTTCTGCTTCTTTATCAATTTATTCCTCTATTTTTATAATTTTATTGATTTTTGGTTCTTTATATCTGTCTCTATCTGTAAATTTTTCATTAATTCTATATTTTCGATTATTTATCAATTTACTTCTGAACTTTATTCTAATAATTTGAGAGCTACTGCGATTGGATTTTGTTTTTTTGTTTCTAATTTTGGTGCAGTTTAAATGCCTTTTGTTTCCTTTTTTTTACTTTCAGTATCTCCTAATGGTCCTTTTTTAGGTTTTGCGTTTCTTGCGTTTATTTGTGTTTTATGTATTTATATAATAAATTAAGATACAACTGAAATAAATTAAGACTAAATAGTTGATAATAAGGAATTATTAGAAAAATAAAAAACAATTATTTAATTTGAATTAAACATAATTAATACTTTTTTAAAAATTAATAATTAATAAATTATATTAAAAATTAGTATACAAAATATAAAAAAAATATATATTATGTTTATATTAATTATAATTTAAATGAATAACAATAAATACATAAACTAAATAATTTATTATATTAGAATTAATAATAAATATAGTATCATATGAATTTTATTAATCGTTAAACTTCATTAAAAATTATAAGTAATAATAAATACAAAAACAATAATAAAATACCTAAAAATTTATTTATATATATATAAAATAAAATCTAAAATTCATAAAAAAATAAATATTAAATTAATAGTATAATATAAATAAAATTTAAATATAAAAATAAAAAATTAAGAATAAAAAAATTGGATAAAAATAATAATGTTTTAATTAAAAAAAAAATATTTGATAAAATTAAAATGAAATAAGAAAAAAAAAAAAAATTTAAAATAAAAATACATATTAAAAGTAATTAATTTTCTTAAAATATATTAATATAAAAATATAAATTTAAAGATAAATATCGAAAATCATAAAAGATAAAAATAATAAATAAATAAAAAAATATTAAAGCTAAAAATTAAATTATATAAATAAAAATAAAAATGTATAATATAAATATTAAATAAAAAGTAAAGATTCATAAATAATGAATGAAAAATAAAAAAATATAAATAAAAAAATGTGTAAAAATTGATAAAATTAAAATAAAAAAATAAAATAATATTTTATAAAAAAAAATGAAAAATAAAATTAAACCAAAAATATAAAATGTAGTAGTAATAATATTAATATATAAATAAAATTAAAAAATATAAAAAAAAAATAAGAATCAAGATAAAAAATAAAAATATAATGAAAATAAATATAATAATAATAATAATAATAATAATAATAATAATAATTAAAATAATAATAATAATAATAATAATAATATTAATGTTTTTTTATATTTTTACTATTTTATATTTAAGTTTTTTTTAAAAAAATTATTTATAATAATTTATTATTTATTTAAGAAAAAATTAATTTTTTTCTTTTAATTTATATTAATTTTTTGCAATTTTTTCATTTTTTTTTCTTTTTAATAATTAATATAATTATATATAATTATTTTTTACTTTTTAAATTTATTAATAAAATAATCAATAACTAAACTTTTTTGTAATTTTTTTTTTAAAAATAATATATATAATTATTATAAACAAATAAAATGAAATTATATTTTATATTAATACTTTTTTTCACATATTCAAATTAGAAGATATACAAAATACCTTTAAAAAAAGAGCAAAAATAATAAAAAATAAAAAATTAATATAATTATTTTATTAAACAATAATCTCAAAAATTAACAAATTACCATCAATTTTATTATTATGGAACTATAAATATTGGTAAATCTCGTTAAAAATTTAATGTATTATTCGATACAGGATCTAATATTTTATGGATTCCATCAAAAGATTGTATAAATTGCTATGAAAGTGTAAAAAATAAAAAATATGTAAAAATTTAAACACATAAAAAGGGAATGAATACATTTTATGATTGTTAAGCTTAAGATTAATGTATTAATTATAATATTAAAAAAGTAATAGAATATGGAAAGGGATAAGTCAAAGGATCATTTTCTTAATCACTGATTTCTTTTTAGGATCTTCCAAATATTTAGCATTCATTTTTATTAATTAAATTCTTATAAGAATTTCAATAATTTAATGTGACAAATAATATATTTTTTTTTTTTATTGAAATAAAAAGGCTGATGGACTGTTTGGTTTAGGAATAATAAATGAATAAATAAATTAATAATAAGAATAAGAGCCAACATATATAGAAAAACTATATTAATAATAATATATTGATTAGCCTGTTTTTTAAATTTATTTAGGATTTGGAGATGACGATTCGGAATTGATTTTAGGAGGTTATAATCCTTAAAAATTAAAGAACTAAAATAGTGCTTTTAATTTTCATTAAATACAAAGCAATCAAAGATGGCTTATAAGTATAGATAAAATAAATTTTGGAAAAAAAAATCTAGTTTAATAATAAGATTTATAAAAAATTAATTGTGTAGTTGATTCAGGTACATCTCTAATTACTTTTAATTCTTATATTTTTAGAAAGTTTATTTAAATGTTATAAGATTATGGTGTTTTGGGACTTGATTCTAATGAGAATTTTATTATGTATGATTGTAATAGTAAATTACCTGATTTGTATTTTTATATGTAAGATATTAATGGTAAATTAATTGAATATAGTCTTCCTTAGGAGTTTTATACAATGTAAATGGGATTATTTTAATGTGCAATTTTAGTTTCTAAATTAGACATTTAAGATGTTCAAATTATTCTTGGAAATACTTTTATGAGAAAGTATGTTTCATTTTTTTCTTATAATAATAGAACTTTAGGTTATATTTAATTTAATATTTTATTTATTTTATTATTATAGGTTTAGCTGAATCTATTAGTAATCCTAATTATAATTATAGTATTTATAATGCTAATTAAAAATGGCTAATAATATTTTATATTTTTATTTTATTACTATTACTTGGAGGTATTTTTTTATTTATAAGAAAAGAAAATAAAGACAAATGTAAAGCGATTTAAATAGATAATTTTTATATTAATATTAATTTTAATAAATATGTTTTTAATAATAAAATGCTTCGTATAATTAAGTTTAAGGAGACTTAAAATAATAAAATAATAATTAAAACATTTAAATGAATTAAAATTAATAATAATAAAACTAATAGAAAAATATTTAATGAATTTTATTTAATTTCTAATAAATATTTTTTATTGGTTATTTACTATTAATTAAGAGATTTTAATATATTTATTTATATAATAATTTTTTTGTTTAAAAAAAACAATAACATATTATGTTTATGTGAAAAATAAAAAGAATGAGAAAATTATAAAAATTAAAGAAATATATAAAAAAATAAAAATTTAAATTAATTAGTCAAATATATTGATTAGATAATAATTTTTATTTTCTATATTTATAAACTAAAAATAAATTTTAGTCTTATTTTAAAATACAATATTAAATTTTATTCGCATTTTTTTAATTGTCTGTATACAAAAAAAATGATATTTATATATATATTAATATATATATTTATATATATATATATATATTTATATATATATATATATATATATACATATATATATATTTATATTTATATATAAATTATTAAATAAAAGGCAAATAAAAATTAAATTTTGAATTATACAATACTAAATTTTTGAAATAATATTAATTAATTATATGATAAAAAAGTATTTTAGTTATTATTTTAACTACAATTAAAGTTTATTATT